TTGCTGGTCCTTCGAGCCGGATTCGGTGAGAGTGCGCGTGATAAATCTGTGGTGCCGGTTGATTCTCAAGGAAGCGGGAGATAACGTTGTCGCGTCATGGCTGACCTTCTCACCAAACAGTCCGTCCTGCAGCGCCAGATTGAGCGCGCATTGGACAACTTCAAGAAGGTGGGGAAGGCGAACCTCACGCCCGCGAAGATCCGTACAAGGATCGCCTCGCTCAAGTCCACCTGGGGTCAGTTTCAAGAAGGGCATGTTTCTCTTCTGCGGGCCGTGCCCGAAGCTTCGAGAACTGAGATGGCCTATTTCAACGAGGATCGTTTCGAGGTCATCGATGACGTCTATCAATCCGCCTGGGAGTACATGTCCGAGTGCCTCGAGGAGCTGGAACCGGTCGTGAGCCCTAACCAATCCTTTAATTCCAGTCACGCGGTTTCAGACGCGTCCGCTCTCGCGCTTACTAACATGCCGCCGATCCGTTTGCCGCCGTTCGACGGAGATTATTCTCAATGGGAGACTTTTCGCGATAGATTCACCGCTCTAGTCATTAGCAATAACGCGCTAAGCGAATTCGCGCGTATGCACTATCTGGCGTCATCTTTAAAGGGTCGAGCCCTCGATTGCTTAGGGAGTATCGCGATCACCGCTGATAATTTCTCTGTTGCATGGGGTGCGTTGAAGTCGCGATTCGAGAATAAGCGCCGCCTTCTATCTTCGCACTTCTCCTCGTTGTTCGGATTGTCGGCCCTCACGAAAGAGTCCGCCTCAGAGTTGCAAACCCTATGCGATAAAATTAATATCGCTGTGGCATCGTTGACAAACTTGAAACGTTCCCCGAGTGACTTGTGGAACGATTTCCTGGTCCATTTATTAACGCTGAAGTTGGATCCCGCCTCGCGGAAGGCGTGGAACCTCAAGACAAGTGACGCCGACATTCCGCCGACCTTTGAGGAGCTAAATAAATTTATTTCAAATCGCATTCGCGCGCTGGAAGAGTGCACGCCTAACCCACCGTCAAAGAATCCGAAGTCGCCCGGATCATCTCGCGTTACCGTCGCGACCGCGTCCGCGAATGCGCTGTCTGCTTGCCCGTTGTGCAAGGCCCGACACTATTTGAGTGCATGCGCTAAATTTGTGTCTCAGACTCCGAATCGGCGACGCGAAACGGTGAAGAAGCTGAAGCGCTGTTTCAATTGTCTAAGCGCTTCACATCCCATTTCGGAATGCAAGAGCAAATTCTCCTGTCGCGCTTGCAGTAAGCGACATCACTCGATGCTGCACGCCGATTCGGATTCTGAGACCAATGCTTCGGTGTCGTCAGTCGCCGAGACGTCGATCCCGGCGTCTTCAACTACCGTTGAAGTTAATTCGTTGCTAGCTTCTGCGATTACGCGTCCGCGCACACAGGTCCTCCTCGCCACCGCGCGTATAAAGGTGGAAGTAGACTCGGGTCGTAGCGTTGTCGCGCGTGCTCTGATAGATCAGGGCTCAGAAGCTACTTTCATATCGGAAAGTCTGGCTCAAACCTTGCGAACTCGTCGAATTCGAATGCCTGTCTCGATTTCAGCTGTTGGGGGTACCCAAGTGAGCACGGTGCGACATGCTGCCCTCGTGAAGATCCGTCCCGTCGCTACCGCGACACCGTCGTTCTCGACGACGGCTCTGATCCTTCCGTCGTTAACTTCCTACGCTCCCCGTCAAGCGTCGGATAGCTCAGCTCTCTCTCACCTCTCTGATTTGGCATGGGCGGATCCGCATCCGACCAATTCCGATCCTATACAGGTTCTCATTGGCGCCGATCTCTACAGCGATCTTATTTTGGATGGTGTTCGGAAGGGGAAATCCGGCCATCCCATAGCGCAAAATTCAATATTCGGGTGGATAATCTCCGGCCCTCTTCCCGCGGAGGAGGACCGAGTAACTCCTCACATTTCGGTGCAACATTGCACCTCCGATGTCCCTCTTTCAGAGGACCTTCGGAAATTCTGGGAGATCGAGGAGCTTCCTCCTTCTCCAGTCCTCTCGCCCCAAGAAGAGCAGTGCGAGAAACATTTCTGCGAGACACATTCGCGCGATGACAGCGGACGATACATCGTTCGCTTGCCATTCAAGACGCCCTCGCCTATCGACATAGGGCGTTCCCAACAATCCGCCGATCGACTGTTGCAATCGTTACTGCAGCGTTTCAAATCTCAGCCGGAGTTGGAAAGCGAATATCGAGATTTCATGCGCGAATATGAGAGTCTCGGGCATATGCGTCCGATTCCGGAACCGCAAAACACCCGAAGTCAACGGGTGTATATCCCGCATCATCCGGTTTTTCGAGCCGAAAGCGCCACAACTCGATTACGCGTCGTTTTTAATGCCTCATGTAGAACCTCCAACGGCTCTACGCTCAACGATCATTTACTTTCCGGTCCCAAGCTCCAAACCGAATTGCCATCAATCGTTATGCAGTGGCGTCAATTTCGGTATGTCTACACAGCCGACGTCGCTAAGATGTTCCGGCAAATTTTGGTCGATCCGCGAGATCTTGACTATCAGAGGATACGGTGGCAGCCGGAGACCGGCGACGAGCCTCGGGATTATCACCTATTGACCGTCACATACGGCATGACTTGCGCCCCGTACCTAGCGTTGCGCGTCTTGAAGTGCTTGGCCGATGAAGAGGGCGATCAGTTTCCTCTTGCAGCCTCCATAGTACGTAAGCAAATCTACGTCGATGACGTTCTTTTCGGAGCCAATGACATCGACTCATTGCGTTCCCGCCGGGACCAGCTTGTTAATTTGCTCCGTCGCGGCAAATTCGAATTACGCAAGTGGGCGAGCAACTCCCCTGCCTTGCTCGAGGACATTGATCCCTCGAACCACGGTTTGGCATGCAGCAAGTCAATCGCGATCGATGAGAGAGTTAAGGTGCTCGGGATAGTTTGGAATCCTGCGCGCGACGTCTTTCAATTTAAGGTGACACTCGAAGCTGATCCCCCTCGAAGCAAACGCGCCATTCTTTCTGTCATCGCCCGACTGTACGACCCCCTTGGTTGGGTCACGCCGGTCACCGTCTCCGCGAAAATCATGATGCAACAGTTGTGGCGCTTTCGGCTGGGCTGGGACGATCCAGTTCCGGCTTCAGTTTTTACGCGATGGCAACTCTTCTACTCCAAGTTGCCACATCTCAACCACCTCTCGCTCAGTCGGTGGACGGGAGCTCAATCGGAGTCCCGTCTCGAACTCCATGGTTTCGCCGACGCGTCTACTCACGCCTACGCCGCTGTAGTCTACTTGAAGACGATCACTACCGCCGGCGACGTTCGGATCTTCCTCCTCGCAGGTAAATCCAAGGTAGCTCCAATCTCTCCAATCACAGTCCCTCGCCTCGAGTTATCGGCAGCTCTCGTCCTCTCTCGTTTAATAGTATTTGTTCGAGACTCCCTCGAGCTTCATTCCGTGCCTTGCGTTTGCTGGACGGATTCAACGATCGTACTGGCATGGCTGCGGTCTCATCCTTCGCGATGGACCACGTTTGTCGCGAACCATGTCGCGAAGATCCAGTCGACGTTACAAGATGTAACGTGGCGTCATGTGCCAACCGCCTGTAACCCCGCTGACTGCGCTTCACGGGGCCTTGCCGGCGAAGAGCTCATCACGCATAACCTGTGGTGGCACGGTCCACCCTGGCTCGGGTCAGCTCCCACGGAATGGCCAGCCGAGCCCGACTCTCTCCCGACCGCGCTCCCGGATGAGAAGAAGGTTCACGCGCTGCACACCCCTCTCCCCCCCCGAGGGATGGGACCTTGCCTCGCGATTCTCATCGTGGCCAAAGTTGCTCCGTGTCACCGCGTACGTGTACCGGTTTCTGAATTTCTGCCGCCGCACGAAACGTGGCGGTGAATCATTACCGCTTTCGCGCCTTGCCATCTCTTCCACTGAGTGCGCTCTCGCCAAACTCTTTTGGATCAAATACGTGCAAGGTGCATTATTCCAGACCGAAATTCAGGCTCTCCGCGCCGGTCGCGGCATTAGCTCTAAAAGTTCAATAACTTCGCTCAACCCGTTCCTCGACGATGCCGGTGTATTAAGAGTGGGCGGCCGTCTTCGTAACGCGCCTCTACCATATGAAGTCCGCCACCCAGCGCTGCTCGCTTCCCATTCAGTAGTGCGACTCATTGTTTCTCACGTTCATGAGAAAACTCTGCACGGCGGCACTCAGCTGTCTCTCAGTGTGCTCCGAAAAGAGTACTGGATCCTTCGCGCCCGCAGTCTCGTCAAATCAGTTATTCACTCGTGTCTTCCTTGTGTAAGAGAGCGAGCGTCGGTACCTACTCAGTTAATGGGAGATCTCCCCCCTTGGAGAGTGTCTCCCCCCCCCTCGATGCTTCACCCACTGTGGCGTGGACTACGCCGGACCGATCAAGGTTCGAGCTTCCGCGGGAAGAGGAATCAAATCTCGCGGTAATTATTTAGATTAACACACCCACCTCCAATAACCTTGGGCTTGACATATATTATAGAGGTCACCCTCCTGAGTAACCCTCAGAAGGATTTAGCCGGCGCTCGTTGTTTATTAAAAAGTTATT